ACTTCGCTCTCAATCTGCAGGTTTACTAGTGGTTCCTAGAATTTCTAAAAGTAGAATGGGAGGCAGATCTTTTAGTTCTCAGGCTCCTCTCCTGTGGAACCAACTACCAGTTTTAGTCCGTGAGGCAGACACCCTGTCTACTTTTAAGGCTAGGCTTAAAACTTTCCTTTTTGATAAAGCTTCTAGTTAGAGTGGCTCAGGTTATCCTGATCTATCTCTATAGTTCTGCTGCTATAGGCTTAGACTGTTGGAGGACATAGGGACCCCTTTTTCATCATTCTGCTTCATTCTATCTCTATTCTCCCACTCTGCAGAATCTGTTAGTTCAATATCTGACTGGATGATCTGGTGAGCTCGAAAGTGTCTTGAGATGATGAAATGAACTGAATTGAATTGAATTAAATTTTGCATACCGACCAGAGCCGAGGTGATTTTAATCCTGGTCGCTGTTCAAGTCCTTTGACCCGGGTAGATTCTGTCCGTCCGTCCGTCCGTGCGTCCGTCCGTCCATCCGTCCGTCCACCTCCAGCTGTCAGTGGGTGAGAGGCGGGTCCATCCTGGGCAGGTCTCCAGTCCATCTCAGAGTCTCTGAAACCCCAGAGTGCGGAAGTCAAGTTAAAATAATATAGAGAAAAGGGTAGTTTTATTTTCTACTCCTGGCTGTAATGAGCAGTAATCTCCTTCTGTTTTCTCCCTCAGGCACCATGTGACACTCTGCCATATCCCAAAGGGAGATAAATGTCCCGAATGAGGGACTTTAAATGAGCAAAATTTGTATTTTTACTGAAAGAAGTTGTAGTTTGCCAGCTGGGAGAACCACAGGGTTCTTCCTCCAACATGAACAAACCCCTCAGATTACGCTGCTTCAAATTTCAGATTTCCAGCAGTGTTTCTAACATGTTCTTTATAAGTAGCATCTTGGTAAATTTCCCATTTTACCATGTATGGCGGCGCATTCAGAAAGAAAGGAGTCACCACTACATGTTATTGTCTGACTGCCTCCTGCCGTAAAATATTCTCCTCTTTTGTCTGTGGAGAGATTCCTGTCATAAGGCCAATAATGGACATCAGCTCCTCTGGACTTCATGCAGCTGAAAGGACAGAAACATCCTTCATTGTTACATAAGCGTCCGTATCTAGAGAAGCTGACTCGCTGCCTTCAGTCGCTGCATCACTAGAATCCATCATGATGACGGAAATATTTCCATTCCAAAGACAAAGGTCAACAACGTCACAAACCATTTACATTTTGGGAGAATTTTTAGCTCAGCGTTCATTTTTTTACCATTTAACGCTGATTATATTCATTTCAGTGTTATTGCTGCAGCCCTGGAATGAATCTGTTTGCAATTAAAATCCCACTGAAGAAAGGCCGGGTCTTTTTAAAACAGTTTACATTCAAACAAGTTATAATTTATCTTTGTAATTCAGCCGACAGCCTCTGCCTTCATCAATATGCAGATCAATATGCACTAAATCTGGTTCTTATGGTCCAGTTTATACAGTTTAAATGCAAGAAAGTTACGTCTGTTCTTAGTTGCATTCATTGCATCCAACCCTCATTTAATAAAAGCTCCTTTATGTTTGCCTGAAATTATCTAGTTCATCCTAAGAGCAGCAATAAAATATTTAATGTCAACTTTAGGTTTTACTCATCTAATAGATGAAAATGGTCTTTATATTCATTCACCCATTTCTATAGAAACACCCAGACTTAGACTTTGATTAGGCCAGGATTATCAGTCATCTTCAGTCAGTTTCATTTGCACAGATATTTATCTCTAGAGCTCAGTAAACTAGAAAACACAGAGAAACAGAAATAAAATCTCTGTTATGAGTAAAATGAGACTTGGATTAGACATCGTTTATGGTCATTTTGTATGCAGAGACAGAGTGTTGCCTGTTCTGCAGAGTTAGGAGCAGATCAGGCTGGAGTCGCGTTACAAGTGTCTCTGCCACACATTCTAATTTAGACTCAGTTCTGGACTTGGACTAGGTAGCTGTTAAATGCTTCAATCTAAACGCTTCCACTGTAGCTCCTGCAGAAGGTCAAGGTTAACTGCACTGCGGAGAGTAAACCTCTGCACCGGTATCAAGTCCTGAGCAAAATCAGCATGACAAAAAAAATAGACATGGATCTAAATATCTGTCAAGTCACTGCGTATAAGTTCAATCAAACAGTCTCTAACTTCTGCAGGATCAAAGTGAATACATAAAAAACAGATAAAAGGCCTCAGGGTTCACTTTGAAGCACAGCTTCAACTTGTACTTTGCAAAAGTTTAAAAAGAAGCTTATAAATCATATTTTATTGCAGGATTTGGGGACGGATTCCCCCCCTGAGGCAGCAGATGTATTGACTTGGTCCTACTAAACTTTTAGCATGAGTCTAGTCGGCTGTAACCTCCAAGTCATCAAAAGACATTTTCATCAGCTAGTCTGTGATAAACATGTAGGTTCCTTTATCTTCTTTTGTTTAAAATATCAACTGTTATCTCATGAACTCTGCCTCCTTTTTCACTCTGAAAAAGAAAATTTTTTTTCCCCTTTTTGCAAACTGAACCAGATGGTCAATACATCTACCATCCAGTTCAATTTCCTTATTTTCTAAGCCGAATCAAGGCTTTGTTTTTGATCCACTCTATAAAACCTGAAACTCAACATTATTTCTGACATTTTGAATTGAAAAAGCTTCCTGGATGGAAGAGAAACATCTTGGAAACAAAGTCCAGTGGATTAATTTGAACTTTTTTTGGAATAACATTCTTAAAGTGAGACAATCTAAAAAGAGAAAAGGGTTGAGAGAACGGAACCTTGAGTTTTTAGTTTTCAGTTATCTTAGTAATTCTGTTTTGTTGATTTTTGTCTTATTTTCCATTTTGTGTTATATTTAATCAGTCTTTAGTTACTCCTTGTCGCCCCCTTGTGCCTCCTGTCCTTTCTCCTAGCTCCCTTCTAGTCTCTTCCATCCACACCTGCTCCCTATCAGCTGATTAGCCCAGTCTTTGTTCTGTCTCCTATATATATACCCTCCCTGGCAGCTCTTCTGTGCTGCTTCCTTGTTGTTATTTGGCTCCTCATGTGTGTTTTCTCCTGATGTTTGGGTTTTGTTTCTGTTGGCCTTTGACTCCATTAAACCTACAAGAACTCATCTCTCCACCCTCATGTTAACAACGCATCACTGCGCTAACATCTTAAAACTGATTTGCTCATAACTTCCTGTTCATTAAATGTGTAACAAGCTGATATGAGAACAACTGTGACTAAATATATCTCACCAATTTATTTCATCAGTCTTTCTATGATCAGAACACATCTACCAGTCACACCATTAGAAGTAAACTTTAAAGTCCCAGTCAGTGTTTTCTAGTTTTTATTTTACATTTTCTTATTACAAACAAAATGTATAATGCTGAGATAAGAAGTATAAAATAAGATGCATTTTACAATATAAAGGAAAAAAGATGTAAATTTAAAAAACAAGAAGTAAAAGTTTCAAACAAGTCAATCAAATCTGTTCATTTAATTGGCCTCAGCTTTTTCTTATCTCTATCTTTTCATTTGGACATTTTTACTGAACAGAAACCTTAAAGAAAGTTTCTCCCTTTAATTAGCTTTTGAAACCTTTTTTTTCTTTTTCAGTTGAAAATGTTCTTTAACAGGTGCAGTTTGTAGCACTGCTGCCTTGCAGCAAATAGGTCCTGGCTTGAATTCCCGGCCTGGTGTCTTTCTGGGTGGAGTTTGCATGTTCTCCCTGTGTGTGCATGGGTTCTCTCCAGGTACTCTGGTTTCCTAAGTCTAAAAGCATGACAGTTAGATTAATTGGAGTCTCTAGGTGTGCTCCTTGTACTGGACTAGTAGCCTGATAAACCAGACTAAATGTGAGATTAAATGTGTAATCTAGTCTGGCTCTGATGAATGAGACATCGGAAGATTGTTGATGAGAACAACCTGTTGTTTTTCAAACATATCTGTCCCTATTGGCCAACGCTCTGACCAATGAGAGCAGCTGACTGTGACGTAGGAAGCACAACAGGAAGCTGGTGGGGGAGTGGAAACAAACAGCCTGTCGGTAAAACGGCGAATATGTCCTTTTTAAAAATGAATGAGCGTAGAGCCTCTTCCTGCTCATGTTTCAATGAAAACCCAAAGTCTGATCCTTCCAGAACTGATTCCAAAGCTGAGTCAAACCAGAACTGTTCAATAGTTGCTGCCATCTTCCTTGTGCACTGAGTGAAATGGAGTCATTTCTGTAAAACTGTCAGACCGTAGTAGCCTTGTTTGCTCAGCCGTGTCTTTGTCCAAATACGTCGTCTCCTTTTCTTTTTAGGGCTTTCAGCATTAAATTGCCCAAATATCCAAGGCAGCGCGTTTCACTTCATTTCATTTCCTCTTCTACTGGTTTGGCTTATAGACAGACGAGTCCGAGTAGCGCCATCTCACTGCGGAGCTGAGTCCCACCTGGTTTTTAGACATATAGTGTGAGCAGGTAGATCGCATCAGACTGCCGGGTTGCAGTGTAAGAACAAACATCGTGAGCTGTGAACTCACATTGTACGACGAAACGCTGCGGTTTCATCGAACAGTGTGAGCTGAGAAAAATCATAGAGTGTATAAGAGACGAAAACCTTGGAATGTTGTTTTCCAGCCTAACCCTTCATTTCCAAGACGTTCTCCCTGACAGTCTGCTGTCCTCTGTCTTCCTGATGCTGTTTGACAAAGCAGCAAATGAAATTAGAAACAGCTGGATTTACCTCATCAGGGAAGGCAGATGTTTGCACTAGATCACAGTTAAAGGGGATTAATATGAATTAATTCCAACCTTTTTTAAGCTTTTATTTGGAAAATATTTAAAAACTATGCATCTATTTTCTTCCTCATTGCAAATATGAGCCACATTATGTTGATCTGTCAAATATTAATATACCAATAAAAAAGGAGCATGATAAAGGAATACCACTTTGTTAGCATACATGTTTTTATTTAGATATAAGCAGGAAGAAACAATGATGTCTTACAGTTTAAAATAGGCAAAAATCTACAGATTTACAGCAGCATAGTGGAGCATAGATTAGCAATAAAGTTGCTGACTCAGCTCTACGACTTTGGAGACATTTCTGTGTTTTATTTTAAAGGCAGAAATAAAGCTGAAAAGGTTTAACTCCACAGGTTGTTTCCTAGAGAAGATGACATCATGCTAAAGAAAAAGTCTCCAGTTTAAGTGAACCGTTTGCTTGTGTTTGGCTGCTGTCTCAGAACAGTAAACCTGAAAGGACGCGGTGTTCACCATCAGAAGTACAACCTGATTGTCTGTGAGGAAGAGGCCGGCCTGTCAACGGGAAACCCGCTGCTCTGGGTTTTATCATCCCTCTGCCGTTCCGCTGTCTGCCGCTTTACAAGTGACCCGCTGCCAACAGGTTCAGCTCTGCACCTGTTGGCTCCTGAGAGCCGCTGCCTCAGACGCGACACAATGAGTACTGTGAGGACATGAGGGCGAAACGACAGAAACGTAAATGATCATCTGATGAGACAAAATCAGAGTTTAGACACGTAGTATTGCTGCTATTTAAGAAAAGCTCTCACCCTGAAGTAAACAGCTAAGCTAAAACAGTTTGCTGCCTGTCAGACATCTGAGCAATAATCAGACGAACTGGTTATCGCTCCAAGTGCTCTTTGTGTAGTGAGAAGAAAGCACAGATCTGTAACTGAAAGAGTTTATTAGATAACAGAAAGTTAACAAAATGTTGGAGTTATCTCTGAAATAGATGTTTATAAAAACATGACGCACCAGAACTGTGTGGGGGTGTCTTATCAGCCGATACCAAGACTTCATTCTTTGTTCTCACTGCATTTGGGAATTCAGTTTAAGGAGGAGGCAGCAGCAAAGGAAGGGATAGAAGAAGATAAAACACTTTAATATTGAGCAGAAATAACAGTAGATGAGTCACAGCTAGTTATACACGTTCATTACTTCTAATATTACATATCCTTAGTTATATTTTTAAGCCATGGAGGTCATCAAAGAAGGATTATTGGGGGAAAATAAAGGAAAAATATGTTTCAAATCCCTGGGCGTTCACGTCAATAATAAACTGGACTAAGAAGGGCCAGAGCCTCCCTCCACCTCCTGAGGAGGCTGAGCTCCTCTGCAGTGAGCAGGTCGCTGCTTCAAACCTTCTCTGACTCTGTGGAGGCATCAGCCCTCCTCTACGCTATCGTCTGCTGGGCCCCTGGCAGAGGTTAGGGTTAGCTTGATAGCTTGATTACTTATTGCTAACATTAACGCAGGTGACAATATTTTATCTAGATGTATGCAAACTAAACAGCTTTTCACTAAATAAATAAAATAAAAATAAAAAACTGAAAAGGAAGTTTGTAGAACAAATTAAATGGAAATGAATATTTGCAACCAAAAATTTAAAGTTGTAAATAATCAAATGATGATGTTTATCTGTTACGTTTTTTTAAAGTCATAGGGAATAAATGTCAAATCATTCTGGCTTATACTTGTATATAAATGTTCTCTTTATCAGACCTTATTGTCACAAAAGTTAGAAAATTTCTATTATTTTTTTAATCCTGTCTTAAAAACTGTGTTTTTCCCCGTTATCTTCTGCAGGCCAGTTAGTTCTACGTCAGCCTGACCACCTAAATTCAGCCAATCATATATCAACGGTCATCTGTCAATCAAATGTTTTCGGTCATAGCATCTTGATTCATATGTCGCAGCTAATATACGCAAAGGTTGAAACCAGGATCCTTTCCTTTCCCATTGAGTTGCGTCCCAGTGTTCACGGGGATGGACGTCTGTGTCTTCGGCAGGCGTAGAGCTAACAGAACTGGCAGCGTTGCGAGGCAAGGACTCAAACATGGACGGCTGGAAGCCTTCTACACCAAACCAAGCTTCTGCCGCCCTGGCGTCCTCTTCCACAACATCTTCATCCCCGCTTTCCTCCTCTAAATAAAAAATGGATGACGGAGGAGACTCATCCACGACCTCCGACACTAAACTCTCCTCCTCTTGCATGTTTCCGCTGTCCATAGCGTTCCTTGACAGCGTCGTTTCTAAGGCACCAATTTAGTGCTACTTGGTCCCAATGGAATTTCCCATTGGGAACCTGCTAGCACTAAGTTGCTAACCGGCCACAACCAAATACACAACAAAGCCACAACAATCCCGCCGCCTTGATAATCGACCAATCACATTCACTTTATTCACTTGTGTAAAGTCGTGCACCACTCGGGAGAATTCGGAAATGCAACGGTTGGAACAGCCGCTTCCCTACGACTTTAAAGAGCTGAGCTTGTAAAATGTTCAAACTCATGCAGATTTAGTTTGAATGAGAACATCAACTTTCTTTTAGGAAAAGACAAATTAAACCTCTTTCTGAAAAAAAAAAACTATTTGAATTTAAATCTGATGCAGGAGCTAAAGATTTAGCTGCTGCAAAAAATCCCTTCAAGGTCAGAAATGGAAATATTAAACAAAAAAAAAAACAAAAAAATATATCCAGTTCACTTCAGTTAGTCATAAATTTGAGCAAAAACAGCTTTAAAGTGAATCATGCAGATTCTATTAAAAATTAATCGTTTAAAACACGTTCAGCCAGTTATTGAAATTATGCATCGAATTATAAAACCCAGCAGATTTTATCAAGTCGCTGGTTTGAATGATTCAGTCCTCCTCAAGCATCAAGAAGCTTCATGGTCACTATGAGACATAACAGCTCAGAATCCTGCAGTTTGTTGGGGGTTATAAAGAAAATGGAGGCAGGAAGTTTGCCATTTGATGGTTATAAAAAGCCATCTGGAGGATTCCAGCATGGGGACTATATGAGATATGAAGCCATGATGAAAACTGACATGAGACTCCCGAGTTCTGCCGCGCCAAAAACTGCTCAGCCAGAGATAAAACAGACATCAAAGACACCATGTGTGAAACCGGCTTTTGAGTCTTGCTGCACCTGAAACTGAGAAAATCATAAACTATAAGAGAAGGAGCAGTTTGAGCACCGTCCAGTTTGGATGGGAACTGAGCTTAAGCTGCAGGAAATATAAATACATAAGTAGGATGATTAGTGAAAAGTTTACCCAGACTTTAGTGGTTATTGGGTTCAACAAGAATCATGACCTTTGGAAAGGTTTAGGGTTAGGCATTTCATTCAGCAGGTTTAACAAGACAGACTAACAGGGATCAATTAGAAAAACCGCAATAGAAAAGGCTAAAGTCTGTCTTTTATGTGGTTGACCATGTGACTCCTGCTGGGTTGGAGGCTTCATGGAGGATCAGCTGCTGATTGAACACAACATGCTGCTGCTCTCTTCACTGACCCACTGTTTGCTTTGTAACCTGATCTGAACACGAGGCCTGAAGCCAGAGCTGCACCTCGCAGAGTAAACATCAACTGATTGCTGCAAAAAAGCTGGAATATCCATCAAGAGCAAAAGGTTCCTGTTGTTCCTGCTCGCTCTGCTTTATGATGTCCTGCACTTTATAACAGCAGATTCAGCTAAATGTGGGACAATCCTTTGATTGATTGATTGGAGATTAGAAGGTGATGATTAATTAAAATGAGTTTAAAGGTCCACAGAGTTAGCCATGGGGACTAATTTTCCTCCACAGTCCCACAGCAGGGGGACATTTTTAAACAGGACAGGCAACAAACAAGAGAAACAGGCAGACAATAAATAAACATTCATCCATCCCTTATCTGACACGCTTGTCCTGAGTGGGGTCACGAGGGCTGCTGGTGCCTCTCTCCAGCAGTCAATGGGCGGGGTCCACCCTGGACAGGTCCACTCTGGACAGGTCCACCCTGGACAGGTCCACCCTGGACAAGTCCACCCTGGACAGGTCCACCCTGGACAGGTCCATCCTGGACAGGTCGCCAGTCCATCGCAGCAGTAAAGAAACACCTTATTAATGACATAAACATACAGAAGAACATAAAGTTGGACTTTTCAACCTATTTTCCATTCTATCTTTTTCCGTTCTGTTGGCTCCTCAGGACCAACCGGTAGTTTTCCAATTTAAGCCTATTTTGTGGTTCCGATGACCAGGATGACTTAAACAGGCAACATAGAAATGCTTTAACTGGTTAGGGTTAACCAGTTAACCAGTATTAACTTAATTAATAGTGCATCAATTTCAGTGGGACCCAAGGGAAACCATACGGTGCAATAATTAGGTTATAAAAAAAAACATTTTGCAATAAAATGTTTGCTCAATGAAAAGAATCCAGGAAATGATGGATTTGTTCTGCAGTCTAAAAGCAGGATATTAGTATAATGGGACAAAAAAGGGGCTAAAAAATGCTGAAAACACAAAATTTATCAAAAAACTATTTTGGATTGTTTTTGTTAGCAAATTGATGATTTTTAAAACCATGTTTGGTAGAGCTAACAGTTGCTGCCACACTTATTCAGGAACCAGACTAAGAAAACTGCAGCTGTTGTTGCTGAGAATAAAGTTTCCTCAGTAAGGAAACAATTTTCCATAATAGTTTAACTCTGTCAGTAAAAAAGCCTCAACTGATGTTTGCATATTGAGTTAATTCAATTCCTTTCAACCATAATTTAACCTCTTCCATGTTAGCATGAACTTAAACAAAGAAAGAAGAAGAATAAAGTCCGGTAGGCGGGACATCTCTTTGACAACACAATGTTCACGGATCAATCATTGGATCATCAAAGGCAGAATGATTGCAAACGAAGCAAACAATCAATGTTGCAGGATGACATGCAATAACAGCATTCAGATGAAATCTAGATGCTTCAGACTGAAACAAAGCAGTGAAATACTTCTTAGCTGATCCAAGATTCCTCCACAGCACCCTGACAGACCCATACAGTCAGCAAGAAGACAGACTAACAGACCCATACAGTCAGAAGACAGACTAACAGACCCATACAGTCAGCAGACAGACTAACAGACCCATACAGTCAGAAGACAGACTAACAGACCCATACAGTCAGAAGACAGACTAACAGACCCATACAGTCAGAAGACAGACTAACAGACCCATACAGTCAGCAGACAGACTAACAGACCCATACAGTCAGAAGACAGACTAACAGACCCATACAGTCAGCAGACAGACTAACAGACCCATACAGTCAGAAGACAGACTAACAGACCCATACAGTCAGAAGACAGACTAACAGACCCATACAGTCAGAAGACAGACTAACAGACCCATACAGTCAGAAGACAGACTAACAGACCCATACAGTCAGCAGACAGACTAACAGACCCATACAGTCAGAAGACAGACTAACAGACCCATACAGTCAGAAGACAGACTAACAGACCCATACAGTCAGAAGACAGACTAACCAACCCATACAGTCAGAAGACAGACTAACCAACCCATACAGTCAGTCAGCAGACAGACTAACAGACCCATACAGTCAGAAGACAGACTAACAGACCCATACAGTCAGCAGACAGACTAACAGACCCATACAGTCAGAAGACAGACTAACAGACCCATACAGTCAGAAGACAGACTAACAGACCCATACAGTCAGAAGACAGACTAACAGACCCATACAGTCAGCAGACAGACTAACAGACCCATACAGTCAGAAGACAGACTAACAGACCCATACAGTCAGAAGACAGACTAACAGACCCATACAGTCAGTAGACAGACTAACAGACCCATACAGTCAGAAGACAGACTAACAGACCCATACAGTCAGAAGACAGACTAACAGACCCATACAGTCAGAAGACAGACTAACAGACCCATACAGTCAGAAGACAGACTAACAGACCCATACAGTCAGAAGACAGACTAACAGACCCATACAGTCAGCAGACAGACTAACAGACCCATACAGTCAGCAGACAGACTAACAGACCC